TGGCCACCAAATGAGAAGGGAGCACTCACTGGAGAAGACCCTGATGCTGGGAAAATATTGAAGGTAAAAGAAGAAGAGGACTGCAAAGGATGAGGTGGTTAGACAGTGTTATCAATGCGATGAACATGAAATTAAGCAAACTCCGGAGGGCCTGGTGTGATGTGGTCCATGGGGTCACGAAGAGTTGGACTCGACTGTGTGATTGAACAACAACAAACAAAACAAGCAGGAGATCTAGTTTAAACCTCCAATATCTTGTTTGATTTGGGCCTGAGTTAAGATCATAGCAAAAACAGCAATGTTTTGGTGACAATGTCAAGAAGAAGAGGAGGAGGTGATGGTGATTGGATTTATACCCCGCCCGTCAATCCATTTGTGCCTACATGTGTTTCACAGAAGAGGGTTATAAGATTAGGCTGTAACATCACAGCCTGAGAAATCTGCTTTCCCTCCTTCTTTCTTTTTAAATTTTGTAACATCCAGCCTGAGATAGAGTTCTGGTAAGCTTGAAAGTTTGCACAATGTTATGCGTCAATTTGGTTCACCCTAATAAAATATAACACAGAGATTCTGTTCTTAACTTAATGAAACCATTCCAAATCTTCATTTGAGTAGACACTGCTTCAGTCTTGAGAGCACATTTTTACCTGCACATAAGCTCCATCAAATCCATTGGGATTAGTTCTAAGGAAACATGCATGTAATTGAGCGACATCATGAGCACTTATTTCTGTGGTCTGTTTCTTAGGATATACTTGAAACATGTTTGGGATTCTGATAGGGTGGTCTTCTTCTTGTTGTTCTCCTACTACTACTCTTTCTCCTCCTCCCCCCTCTTCATTATTATTGTATACTAGAAGTAAGGCTCGTTGTTGGAAGAAATACAACAAGCTCTAGAAAGAGGCTCCAGGTGAGTGTCCTGGCTGTGGCTGGTGGGGTGGCAGAGGGAAGGGGAAAATAGAGGTAGGCGAGCCATGTTTGTTTCTTTCTGCTTAGCTATAAGGCAGAGCTGTCTCAAGTCCTTTTGCTGCCCCAAGTGGGTAGTGTGGGAAGAGAGCCACATGGTAACAGGTATGGTTCCCTCCACCCCTGACTTATGTTGATTTGGGGCTATGTAGTGGCAACTAAGGTAGAAAACACCTCCTCCTATGCCATGTTTCCTGGGTTTCAAGGGTCTGGAAAGTGGTTCTGTAGCCAGCTACAGGGTTGCCAACTCTGGGTTGGGAAATACCTGTAGATTTGAGGAGTAGAGCCTGGGGAGGGCAGGGTTTGGGTTGGGGAGGGACTTCAGCAGAATATAATGCCATAGGAGTCCACTGCCCAAAGCAGCCATTTTCTCCAGAAGAACTGATCTTGGTCATCTGGAGATCAGTTGTAATAGCTAGAGATCTCTAGGTGCTGCCTAGAGGTTGGCAATACTTTTTTGGGAGTTGCGGGTTTGTTGAAGGACTTCAGTGAGGTATACTGCCATAGAGCTCACCTTCCAAAGCAACCATTTTCTCCATGAGGACTGATCTCTTTAGTCTGGATATCAGTTGTAATTCAGGGAGATGTCCAGGCCTTCCCTTTCCCCCCAACCCCCGATTAACTGTTTAACTGAATAACATTTCAGCTCACTCCCTGCTGATACCCCACGGCCTCTTAGGACTCCAAACGTGGGAGTTGTAGTTCTAATTCCCTTTGCTATGGTTGCAGTAAGGCCAGCTGGGAACTACATCTCCCAAGGTGCAATGCATCAAAAGTGGTGGTGTGAGAATGGAGGAGCCGGCGGGACAAGCCAATAGGACACCCAGGCAGATACAAACATAAGCTCATATCGTTACAGGTGAGTCGCCACCAGCACGACTTGCCTTTTATATATTATAGCTAGTATAGCCAGGAGATCCTAAGATTCTCTGGCAGCCAGAAATAGTAGCTCTTTTAGTGTTATGTACCACTAGGTGGTGAGCTAGACTTGAGATGTTTCAGGGGTAGTTTGCCATTGTCTGCCTCTGTCTCACGACCCTGGTATTCCTTGGAGGTCACCCTCCTAAATACTAACCAAGGGCAACCCTGCTTAACTTCCAAGGTCTGATGAGATCAGGCTATCCTGAATAGACCTCCGATATACTACGTATAGGCTGTTTTGCTTGCTTCTGGTATTACTCTTTGCTTTAACTGTCTGAGTTATGGGAAGTTGAGGCTGCCTGTGGAGGAGGTGGTTGCATAGAGCAGCGGTCCCCCAACATGATGCCTGTGGATGCCCTGATGCCTGCCAACACCTTTTCTGGTGTCTGTCAAATATTTTTAGAAAGTGGGCAAGGCCAGGCGAGGCTTTTGCCCAGCAAGGCTTCTGATTGGACCACCGGAGATTTGATTGGCTGTGGTGGCTCAAGTGGTTAAGATGATTGGACCACTGGAGATTTGATTGGCTGTACTGCTTTTAAAAAATATTTCTTTGGCAGCAGATGCCACCACAGCACAAAGATCTTTACTGTGTAACTGAAGGTAAGCTGCAGCATCCATTTTGTGGCTGGCTCCTCCTCCCATAGCAGCCATTTTTTGGCTGTGCCCACATCGCATCATGCTGAGTAAGAATTCCAAAGGTCTCCGCAGTCTTAAAAAGGTTGGGGACTCCTGGCTTAGAGTCTCATGCAGTATTTATTTATTTAATTCAGTTTTCCTCACTTATCTCCCCAATGATGACCCAAAGTAGCTTACAACATTCCCCTCTCTTCTATTTTGTCCTCACAATAATGCTGTGAGGGAAGCTAGCCTGACAGTGTTCAACTGGCCCAAGGCAAACTTCCCTGTCAGGGCAGGAATTTGAACCTGGGTTTCCCGGATCTTATTCCGACATTCTTCTAACCCCTATACCTTTCTCTCTGTCTCACGGGGCTGATACATTGATGTTTGTGCATCACTTGGTTATTCAGCACAGGATGAACATGGAAATAGTCTTCTTGGATGAGAATTGTGAGTGTTGACAAGGTGGGGGCTATAAAAGTGTGTAATCTGTGGTGGTTTATGAATGTAGTGCCAAATGAGGGATCTCATATGCAAACTCATTATTAACCTCTTATCAACCGGCAGCCCCCCTCATCCTGAATAGGCAGTGCTTCAGGCAGAAATGCAACCTAGATTCTGCACAAGATAGTGCCAGATAGACTTTATTTGTGACAGGAGTCAGGACACATGCGCCTGACCTGTAGGGCTGTCATGCATAGCATTTTGTATGAAGTGGATTTATTTGTCTTAAAAGCAGGGGTCGTTTCATAGAAAAAGAGGTAGGGGAACTCATTAGCATAACTCATTAGCATATGCCACACCCCCTGACATCACCAGAAGTGTGTCATGAAGCCACACCCCCTGACATCATCGGAAGTGTGTCATGAGGCCACACACCCCACCCCCAACGGTCCTGGCCGCCGGCGGCCTTGCAGCTCCACTGCCGAGCTCCATGAGGGGCCCAGCGGTGGACCTGCAAGGCCGGCAGGAGTGCGAGGAAGCCCCGCGAAGGCCCTCCCTGGCCCCAGGCAGACAGGGGTAGGGAGAGGCAGGGAGGAAGCAACTTACCCTCCCTCTTCTCCTGCCTCCTCCTGGCTGAATGAGGGCCGGAAGCGGGGCGGCCGGAAGCGGGGGGCGGGGCTTCGTCATGTGCCCTGCCCCCCGTACCTCACCCGGGCGAACTCCGATCCCCCGCGATCCCCCCCGAAATGACCTCTGCTTAAAAGTGTTCCATTGCTCCATTGGCCTCCAGAGCACTGTGAAGGAGGGGCTTCCAGCTTCCCTCCCATGCTATTTCTGCTAATGGAAATGGCCATGGGGGGCCCTGTGGCTCCTTTCAGCCCCCCCCCAGCCATTTCCGCTGCAAAAGTGGCACAGGGAAAACTGGAAGCCCCTTCTCCCCTCCCCATGACGTGCTCAGGAGCTTCAAGCAGCACCTTTAAGGTGAGTAAACCCTCTTTGTACGAGGTATGTGTGACAGTGAGTCAGGTGAAGCATCGGTGTCCCATCTTGTGTCACACATGATGTTTGGTTTGGTTGTAAGTATGGTCATTACACCCCCCCGTCTTGTGAATTTTGTAGCTCCCTGATAACCAACATAATATGAGTATTCTGAAGCTTTAAGAATAAGCCTTTTTATCTGAATGACACCTGAGTATTAAGGGGCACTTTCTTAGTTCCCTGTCCATTTCATGTGGTGAGGTCAGATATACTTTGACACCTTGTATGCACTTGTACGTGTAGGAGCTGATGTAAGCGGAAGAGGCCATCATTATTTGTGTAATTTAGGTTCACTTTGCTTGTGAAAGGCTCAGGCTGGTTTCTTGAAATCATGCTCCTCTTTAAAGATGAAAACATGTCATATCTGAAATGGTGCATATTTATCCTTAGCAGAAAATGTGTGACGGACAAAATCCCGGAAGTACTGTGTTCATGTTCAGGACTGTCTGTGTATGCATGTGCACTCACAGACTTGTTTTCAACATGGTGTTTCTGGGTCTTCTACTCATTAGCATGACTGGAGGTATATCAGAACTTAAACTAGAGAAGTATCCCTCCCTCCCTTTATGGTTGCCAAAAAAAAGAAGTATCTAACCCCAGTTGGCTTTTGTATAACCAAAACACTGAATATAAATATTAGCCTTGTTTTGGCAGGCATTCCCCATTTTGTCTCACATTAGAGAAAAACTAACAGCCAGCGAGAAACTTTGGATCGAAGTTGCTTCGCCTCACAATGAGGTAGCCTTTTGAGCCTCTGAGAATGAAATCTGGGTTATTCTTTACATTCCAAGCACAAGACAATTGATTATAGTTCTTGGAATGAGAGGCTGGCTGTGCGTTTGAAGTAATGGGTATGTTGAGTAGATTTTTATCTCTCTATTCTCACCGGGTGTGTGAGAAAGGAGAAAAAAAAAGAGAGAGAGAGGAAGATTTGCTGTCCAATTAGTAGCATTCGTGTGACATGAGTGGGTGGGGCTGCAGCCTGGTGCTTGGTGCACTCAGCTGCAGAACAATCGTAAGGTGCTTCCCATGTCTCAGGACTCTTCAAAAGAGGACACTGATGGACTGGTGGTAACTTCAGTCTGTGGGGGGAAAGTCTAGTTTTTTGTTCTGGTTACGAGAATGGATCCGTTTGGGAAGCACGGCAAGTCTGGATTTGTCAGGACTCGGATTCCTAGACCCCAGGTCGCATTGCAGCCAATCCGGTCTTCTGGCTATGCTGGTGTTTGCAGGTATTGATTTGTTTGGGATGTCTCTTTTGGGAAAATCTGTTACGGGCAGCAGCACGGTCTTGTAATCTTGCCAAAACGCAGGCATTGAGGCGTGTTCCAGCTAAATCAATGGGGGGAGGGACTTCCCAGAGTTTGTATTTTGGATTGCTAAATTAAAGGATTGTTCTTTTGCAGTAGTACCAATATTCAGTAAACTAGCATAGTTCTGATTTTCATTTGTAATTTTATAAAGGCCAAAGGATTTTTCAGGCTAGCAGTTGTCAGTGTCTTTGTTTTGAAGATTTCTTATTTCCAGGAGGTCAATTTGTTTAAAGTTTCTGATCTAATTTTTACCAGATCAATGGTTGCTCATTCAAATAGCTAGGGGTTTTATTTTTTGGGTGGGGGACTTCTAATAATGCAACAGTAAAGAAAATTATTTTACAAGAAAATCTCAATTTGGACAGAAAGCTTTGAGAGAAAAGGCGGCTCGGCCGGGGGATCCGTGGGATCCCGCCGAGCCGTATCAACGTTGGCGCGGCTTTTAAAAGCCGCGCTTTAAAGGGCTTTTCCCCTGCCGTGTGGCAGGGGCCTTAGTTTTTCAAAATGATATTGGTAGAAGATTTCAGATAATCCGCCCTATTTTGAAGTGGTTGTGATGTCTTTTCTTTAAAAATATATGGGAATTCTTGCTGTCTTTATGGCATTGCATATTGAATTTGTTGAGTAGTAGGTCTTGCTTAAAAAAACCTGGTAACTGGCATTAGAATATGCTGCTTAGTTTTAAGCATACATCCAGTTCTAACCAGCAGGTTGTCACTTAGCGTTTGCATAATGACTCCTGTGTTCTATGTTTGTTGGCATGATTGATTGTGCCTATGGCTGTGATGCTTATGAGATGATACATAGAAAATCCAATAGTATTTTAAATTACCTTTTAATGATCACTTGTTCAGTGGCATTGGTACCACAAAAGTTGTATTGGGGCTGCCATTAAGATGCCTAAGCTCTTAAAATACCTCTTGTTGTGGTGCTTTCCAAGAATTCAGGAATTCTTAACTGGTAGAGATGTGGACTCTGCATTCCCCCTCGTCTTCAGTCCTTACTTGTTCAAGTTCTGGTATTTCTAGTATCCACAAGTTCCCCATTCTGTAGGCTGGGTGCCAGCTGTTCTACATTTTCTCTAAGCTCTGAAACCAACTTGGTGACATTCCACAAGATGACCAAATGGCATGCAGGAACTATTTATGCACAGTGAACAATTGCTGAGGTTAGCCTGTCCTTGGTAGGTTTTTGTTTCAAGATTACATTTATGATAGGTGACTTAAGTCTTTATCTCTCTTTCTCTGTGTAACCCTGAACTGAGCACCACTGGTACATTGTGTTTCAAGAAAGGCTCTTAGAGGGATGGTAACATGGAAGTATGCATTGTTTTTAGCCATACAAGGTCAGACTGTCTATATCTGGGGGAAAGGGGAAAATGTAAGGAGCTTATCTATCTATACTTTTAATTTCCACTACACCTAAATCTCTTAAGTATGCAGCTGGAGTGAATCTTTCTTGGGCTCTTTTCTAGTGGAATTGAAAATAGCTTATTCTCATGCTGTTCAGGTTGTCCCTTGCTAATTGCTCACTGAGCATGGATTTTGAAGGTTCATTCATTATCACATGACAGGAAGTTGGTCACCTCTTAAGGATGGTGGCATCTCAACAGCTGATTTGATCCTATTTAGTTTCTATGATAGTTAAGTGCTACGATGGCTGAGAGAGCCATTAGCCTACCTAGTAAAGAACAATATTTTTGCATCTTACTCCTAGTGTCTTTAGATGGGTTCATTCTCTCCCTTCCTTCCCCTTCCAAATCAACTGTTATACTCCCTGGGGAAAGTCTTGTCACACAAATTTCTCCATCTGTGTTTGCTCCACATTTGGTGACCCAGCCTGGATTAAAGCACCCCATGAGGCTGGTCTGTGAGCATTGGAATTGCTGAAATGCCATTCCCAGTTACCAAATGAGACACTGTTCGATGTTCCTTTATTTCTTTCAAATGTGGGGGGCAGGGGGTGACGGCTCAGATACAGTGGCTTGTTATAGCCCATCCAGGCAGTCTAAGCTGGAGTGTGGTCCCATAGGCTCTTGGATCCTATGTAATGTTCCCCATATGCTCAGGCTCAGCAGCCTGGCTATGGCTATGATCCATCTCTTGCTCTTTGTTTCCTCTCTTCCCCTGTTCTACCTCTGAGGATCTCGAAGAGGCACTTCAGAGTTTCTCCTCCAGCCCCCCCTGTCCCCCCCCCGTGAGGTGGTCCAGGCTGAGCGACTAGTCCCGGGTGACCCAGAAGGACAGGTTCCTGGCTCAGGAGGAGAGGGGGTCTGAACCTGGCTGTCCCCCCCACTGCCAGTTTCCGTCCCTCCTGCATTTCCCACACAAGTGGCAGGGCCGAGGGGAAGGCCTGACAGGGAGTCTGTCCTAAAACCTCCAAGGGGTGCTTTTTGTCTTCCCGCAGCTGCTTTTTCTCCATGAGCTGAGAACAGGTATGGAGAAGGGAGGTCGCCATCCCTGCACCCTCCCTGACACTCACCCTGCCTCCCAGTTCCATGGCTGTTCCGACATGTGGTGGTGACAGCAGCACCCCTTTCCCCCTTCACTTCCGAGGCTGGGACGTCTTTCCCCTCAGAGTGGCATGCACAAGACAGCCCAGTTGCCTCCTAATCTACGTGCCAGCCCTCCCCCCCCAGCTGGCCCCAGCCATTCATTGGCAAACCACCGCTCTGCATGCCCCCTGTCATCAGCCCCCCTCATGGTCACTGTTTGGTGCAGCAGTGGCAGCCCTGGCTGCTCAGCTCCACCTCTCCATGTAGTGGCTTCACCAGTCCTCACTGAGCTGTGGTCAGGGGAGGCAGAAGGGGGAAAAACACCACCCCTCCTCTTTCTCTGCCTTCTCAGCCAGTTCCCTCCATACTATTTTACCTCAGCCTCAGAGTCCTGCCCCCTAGCAATTTCCTATTTCTTGAAAGCTTCAACCACACACACATGTCACTGTGTGCGCCCGCTCATCCCCTCCAGCAGCCTCCTGCCTTCCCTCCCTTGCAACAGTTTGCTTGCAGGCCAGTGAGAGCCCTTGAGAGGCCAGTTCCGGTCCCCTGCGATAGAGAGGCTTCTGGATCAGTCTTTTCTGACCTTCTCTCCTGCAGACTGGGTAGTAAAACCATCACTGCAGGGGCTGGAGGTTTCTAGGTAGTCTTGCCCCCCTGGAATGGCCTCTCTGAATTTTTCAGGAAGGCACCCGTTCTTTTCAATTTAAGAAGATCAAGCAAAGCAGAACTGTTCATAAGAGTTTGTGGCCAGTAATTTTATATGGTTTTGGTTATTGACTGCTGATTGTTTTAAATGAATTAAAGATCAAGACTCTTAGATTTTTTGGGGATACTTTGGTTCTTGTTTTTAGACATGAATATTAATTGCCTGTATCCTTAACTGGAGCCAGGCAGGCTAGAAATGTCCTAAATAAATTTAAGTGGTTTCAGTTATTAGCAGTGATATTAGTCAGTTAATGTAGCAGGAAATGGAAGCCACAACTCAGTTGGTTCCAGCTCCTGACTGTATTAACAGCAGCTTTAAAAGGCCAGGAGTGACCTCTTAGAGCAGTCACCAAGTGCCTGGACCACCATAACCTTAACTCTGGAAGGATCCACATAGTTATTTTACATTATGGTGTTGTAATCATTCACCTCTTGGCTCGCCAGACAGGAAAATGTGGATGCAGTCTGAGAAGACCATCACAAAGTATATGGGCTAATATTAGCTTTTCAGGGTTAAGTGTAACGGGGAAGGAGGCAGTTTGCCTGATACAGCATAGGCTAGCAGCATGGAGAAGTGCACGTAATCCTGTCTCGGTTCTCTTTTATCTCTGGCTTGGTCCATGAATTTGCTACGTGGGTGTACTACTGATGTTGAGAAACTGCCTCTTGTGCTTGTGGAGGCAGCTACCATCCTTATGCATGTAGGGAAGAAGCTGCTGGGAGTGGTGAGAACTGCCCTGTGGCATGATTACTCCATCTCCTAATTTGTTTCCTAATTAATAAGTATCTTTACGCTAACTATTTCCATGTGTGTTAAAACTGAATTGGCATTACTGGAACACCTCCAAGCCCTGCTTTGGTATGTCTCTTTCTCTCAAGATTTGGATCTAGGGAATAATTTAACCTGTTGGGGTTGCCTGGCCAAACAAGCAGCATCAAATAAGAACTACTTAGAAGGCCTTTGCCGGCATGTAAAATAGTGCTGAGTTCTATAGGAGAAGGTGCAGTGCAACAGCCAAGAGAGTGAATGGTGATCAAGGCAGTCCTTCAAATCTCATATTTGCACCCCAACAGGAGCATTAAAATGCACCCTACCTAGGGCTGCCAGTCATGGCCTGTTGAGCGGTGGGAGTCCAGGGGTCATGGTAGGGTTCATGGGGGACATTGGGGGCACAGGTATGATATCACTTCTGGGAAAAACCTGGAAGTGACATTGTGGATCTCTAGGAATTGCCAGAAACTCTCTCGTAAAACCATAGAGGTTTCTGGCAATTCATAGATAGGTCAGATGTCAACCTGACAGTGATCTTTTAGTTTATTTTGGGAAGAGAGGATTGCTGGCAGGGGATCTACTGCCATAGTGGGAGACCTGTAAACCCTACCCCCATGGTGGCGGTGGCAGGAAGGGCTGGAACAAGGTCAACACGTCCCTTCACTGCTCACTGTTGCTGCCATCACCCCAACCCCTGCTCTCCCCCCTCACTGCAGTCATTGAACTTTCCTGTGTCATTTTGAAAGCATAGCTTAGTACTGTTTCCTCACTGCTGTGGCAACAGAGAGGGGATGTCTACACAGATGATCTTCCACAGCCAATACAAAGAATCCCCTTTGAACCGGATCAGAGTTGATTTATTTTTCCTGCATTTTAAGGAGATTGCCCCAGGAATGTCCCAAGATGTCATATAGATGTTGTTCTTAAATTCAAGGGCTTTGCTAT